GGAAGATGGTGTCCAGGTGAGTAAGGATTTAACAGAAAGGAAAAGGCACTGCTGTTAAGAACCCAGTTGGTGAGGGAGGCAGCACCTTAAAGGTAATGATTGTGGAATCTCTCCCTCAAAAGCCCATCCAGGAATCGTGGAGACAAGACCTAAGATATGTGGAAAAACATAAAGACTCTCCATTTTACCCCCACCTGTACACTCTGTGCTACTCATCTGTCATAATTCTCTCCCCTTTCAAAGCCTTTCTTTTGAGGAAACATCCTATTTCATATGACTTGGATCCACTTCTTTCCCTTTTATTTTTAAAATTATTTTTTATTTTTCAGTACAGTTGTCATACAATATTAGTTTCAGGTGTACGACATAGTGCTTAGACATTTATATCACGTACAAATTGATCACCCCGATATGTCTGGTACCCATCTGACACTATACATGGTTATTACAGTACTATTGACTGTATTCCCTATGCTGTTCTTTATATCCCCATAACTGTTTTTATAACTGGCAATTTGTCCATCTTACTCTCTTCCCCCTTTATGCCCAGCCCTCCAACTCCCTTCCCACCTGGCAACCATCAAAATGTTCTCTGTATCTTTGAGTTTCTTTCTATTTTGTTTATTTTCTTTCTAGATTCCACAAAGAAATGAAATCATATGGTATTTGTCTTTCTCTGTCTGCCTTATTTCACTTAGTATGATAACTCTCTAGGTTCATCCATGTTGTTGCAGATAGCAAGATTTTATTCTTTTTATAGGTGAGTAATAGTCCATTGTATATATGCATCACTTCTACTTTATTCATTTGTCTTTGGTGGACACTTAGGTTGCTTCTATATCTCAGAAATGCTGCAGTGAACATAGGAAAGCGTATTTCTTTTTAAGTTAGTGTTTTAGATCTCTTTAGATAAATTCCTAGATGCGGAATTGCTAGGTCCTTCTTTGTCTCTTCTTTAGCCTTTGTTTTAAAGTCTGTTTTGTCTGACATAAGTATTGCTACCCAGCCTTTTTTTGTATGTATTTACATGAAATATTTTTTTCCATCTCTTTACTTTCTGTCTGTGTGTCTTCCCATCTGAAGTGAGTCTTTTGTAGGCAGCATATATATGAGTTTTGTTTTCTTATACATTCAGCTATTATATCTTTTGATTGGAGTATTTAATCCATTTATGTTTAAAGTAATTGTTGATAGATATGTAGTTGTTGCCATTTTATTATTCATAATTTTGGTTTTTCTTGCTAAAGAAGTCCCTTTAACATTTTTTGTAATACTAGTTTGGTGTTGATGAACTTCTTTATTTTTTTCTTGTCTGGGAAGCCATTTATCTGTCCTTCATTTCTAAACGATAGCATTGCTGGGCAATCTTGGTTGTAGATCCTTGCTTTTCAGTACTTTAAATACTTCATGACAATTGCTTCTGGCCCGCAAAGTTTCTGTTGAGAAATTAGCTGACATATGGGAGCTCCCTGGTATGTAACTAACTGCCTTTCTCTTGTTGCTTTTAGGATTCTCTTTGTCTTTAATCTTTTCCATTTTAATCATGTCTTGTCTTGGTGTGGGACTCTTTGGGTTCATCTTGGTAGGGACTCTCAGTGATTCTTGGGCTTGTATGTCTATTTCCATCACCAGGGTAGGGAATTTTTCTGTCATTATTTCTTTAGTTGGATTTTCAATTCCTTGCACTGTCTCTTCTCCTTCTGGTACCTCAGTGATGCAAATATTGGTATGCTTGATGTTGTCCCAGAGGTCCCTTAAACTATCCTCATTTTTTTGGATTCTTTTTTTTTTGTTGCTGTTCTGATTGGATTTTTTCTGCTACCTTGTCTTCTAAATTGCTGATTTGATCCTTTTCTTCATCTAATCTATTATTGATTCCCTCTAAGGCAGTGGCACCTAACCATTTTGGCACTAGGGACCAGTGCCAAAAGTCAGACAGTTCAGTTTCTCCCTGTATGTCGCTGGTCCTTTTTGAGCTGCTGCCCCAGTGCTGAAGTGAGATTGAGTGAGTTCATCAGGGTAAGTCCATTCATGGGCCTTTTAAGAAGGATGCCTGCAATTCCAATAGCCTTTCATCTCACTCAACCACAATCCCTGCTCGTTTTCAGAGCCAGAAGTTATGGGGACTTCTCTTTCCGGCACTGGAACCCTGGACTAGGGATTGTGATGTGAGGCTGGGACCCCTCACTCCTCAGGGGGGACATCTGCAGCTGAGATATCCTTCCTGCTTTTTAACCGCCATATGTGGGTTTGGGACCAGTCTGTTTCACATCTCTACTCCTCCTATTAGTCTTGACGTAGCTTCTTTTGTATATCCTTAGTTGTAGGACTTCTGTTCAGCTAGATTTCTGTCTGGTCTGGTGGTTCTCAATGACAATTTTTCTGTAGTTTAATTTAATTTTGATGTTGTAGGAGGAGGTGAGTACAGCATTTACCTACTTCATCATCTTGAGCAGATGTCCACTTCTTTCCCTTCTAAATTTAAACTCTTGTGTATTTTTTAAAAATCTCTTGAAATACATATTTAAGCCTTTTTGTTCATTTTTCCTATTGATCTTTGACTTTTTTTTGACCTGTTTTGCTTTAATGCAGTAATTCCATATGTGAAAGGATGTTCATTCACTTTTAATCAGCATTTATTGACTTAAAAAATGAATACAGCCTTTTCTTGGTCTGTGGGAATTAAAGAAGTATGTAAGTTATTAAGATACAATCTAATAAAGAGTCTAGAAGATGTCCATAAATAACTTCCAGAAAGCAGACTCAACTATAAGACTTATAATATGGAGCTTAGAAGAAAGTGCTGAAGATATAAATTTCAAATAGTGCTGAGAGAAAAGGATATGCCTTCTTTTAGGAAAAAGTACACAGAAATGCTTATGGATAAGAGAGGGTAATAAATAAATTGTAGAAAATTTAGGTGTCAAGGAAAAGTGAGAGTAATGTTCAAATAAGTTGGTGACATTCTTAATATGGGCAAAATATGGGGCTGTAAGCATAGACCGAGGGATTTTTTTTTTAAATAAAAGATAAGGCTTTAAATTTTTAAAAATACTTTTAAGTAATAGGAATACTATTCATTTTTAAAAGTGTTCTAGTTGTAGGATATAGATTATTTTATTTCAGTTTTTTCACAGAGTGTCACGAATGTGTTTTAAAGGTTTTTTTTTTTTTTAGTTTATTGTAAAAATTTTCAAATATACATAAGGATAGTAGAATGGACATCCCATTAATAAATCCACTTTTGAGCTCCAGCAATTATTAAAATGTTTTCAGTCTGAGATTTGAGATTCCTGGGCCAAACAGTTTAAACCTTGTAAAGCTCCTGATATTCTAGTGCAGAAATACATGATGCAGTGAAGCCAACTTATCCAACTCAATTCATGCAAGTATTAATAGTTGATTAATTCATCAAAAAGGTTAAAGTAAAAAAGTATGATATGCTGCAGTCATTTTATTTTAACTGAAAATGTTTAATTACAGATATTTTTTACCCATTTTATAATGTCAGGGCAGGCATTTTCTTTGAAAATAGGTTTCCGATTTGGAGTTCTGCCTTATTTTTGTCTATACTAAACCCATAATGTGTTAGTCGTAATTTAAACTTTCGTTTTTTTACGTGAAAGAGCAACATAAAGATTCTCGCAATCTAATGTGAATAGAGAATCCAATAAAGCTGTGCTGTCCTATATGGTAGCCCTAGCTACATGTGGCTATTTTAATTTAACTTTAATTAAAATTAAATAAAATAAAAAATTTAATTATCCAGTTGCACTAACCATATTTCATGTGCTCAGTCATTACATTTGGCTACTAGCTACCATATTGGACAAGTCAGATTCTGAACATTTCCATCATTTCAAAAAAATGTGTTGGCATTGCTATCAGTGTAAACAGTTTCTCTCCTGTGCACAAGGTTTTTCCTGTTCATTTACCTCCATATAATTCAAGAGCAGTTTTTTTTTTTTAGTGATTAGCAGAATATTCTATTTAATTTATTGTGTTTTAAAAACCTTTATTATGTAAGTTAGGATATATAAAAAAGAATACATGTAAAATTTACAGCATAACAACAAAAACCTGTGACTGCCATACATAAGAGCTAGAATACTTTACAGTGCTATTACACCGAACTTATGCTCATTTTTAATTCTATTTTACTGCCTCCCCAATGTCCCAATAATATCTAACCTGATTTTTGTGTTTATTCTTCCTGTGATCTTTTTATATGATTGAATAGTTTTATCATATATGTTAGTATCCTTAAGCAATGTATTTAATTTTCTTTTTTTTTTTTGTTACTGAATATTACAAAAATGGTTTTGTACTATCTGGAGCATTCTCTGATCTGATTTTTTTCACTTAATATGATATTTATAGGATTCACGCATGTCTTTGCATGTAGCTATGATTCATTAATTTTTATTGTAGTATATTATCCCATTATGTGAATATACTACAACTTATTTGTTCCCTAATTCAGTGGGATTTGGCTTCTTTGAACTAAATTGGTTATGAATATTCTTATAAATCTCTGTGCTACTCGTGTAAGAATTTCTCTACGATCTCTACCTAGAAGTAGAAGTTTTTGTTCATAGGGTATGTGGATGTTTAACTTTTCTAGATAACGACAAAATATTTTTGAAAGTAGTTGTGCCGGTTTGCTCTTCCAGCACAAGTTTTTTTGGTGCATTTCCTCATTTGCACTTAGGATTTATAATCACACTTTAAAATTTGTGCCAATATAGTTTTGCTCAGAATTAGCCAAACTCAAAGTTAAGGGCACAGTCCTCCAGACTGCCAAATATACACGACTTCTGACACCAGCTGAAAGTTCAAGAGGTCCACAGGGTTACCTTCATTTTAGATCTGCTGGCTACAAATTTGGGGATCTTCATGGACTCCTTCAAATTTGATTATTCACCACAACAACTCATGCAACTTTGAAAAGCACTAGGCTTATGATTTGTTTTATTATAGCAGAAGAACACCAGCAAAAGGATTAGAATCAGCCGAAGGAATAGACACAGGGCAGAATCTGAGAAGGTTCCACATGTGAAGTTTCCATGTCCTCAGGGATGCATTATCCTCCTATCATTGATGTGTGACAATATGCATGGAGTATTGCCAACCTAGGATGCTCACCTGAGCTTCAGTGTCCGAAGTTTCTAACCAAGGCTTCATTATATAAGCATGATTGATTGAGTTGTTGCCCATGTGGCTGAACTTAAGGTCCAGCTTCCTCCTCTTTTTATAGAGGCTGATTCATCTGACCCAAAGACCCAGACCTCTAATCATATAGTTCATCTTTCTGGGCAGCCCCCACTGGGTGTCACAAAGTTAACAAATTGTCAGGTGTGGTCTAAGGGCTCCACTATGAGTAACAAACACACGCCTATCACTTGGGAAATTCTAAACCTTTAATAGTTACCTCCCAGTTGCCAGGACAAAGGTCAGCTCTCCTTTAGGGAAAGTTATTTCTTTACTACATAATAGCGAATGTAAAATTCTAAATTTTTCCTAGTTTTTATTAATTAGACTGAACATTATTTAAAAAGTATATTTGCTGTTTGTACTTCCTTTTTATGTGAAATTTTGCCATTTTTCCCACTAGGTTGTTTAGGTTTCTTCCTTCCTTCTTTTCTTCCTTCCTTCCTTCCTTCCCTCCCTCCCTCCCTTCCTTCTTTCCTCCTCCCTCTCTCCCTCCCTCTTCTCTCTTCCTTCCTTCCTTCTCTCTTTTTTTATTTGCATACATCCAATCCTCTGTACCATTCTTTCCTACGTCTTCCTCATGCTTGGCTATTTGAAATTTCCTCTCCTGCAGTCCCCTTATTCCATCACCTGCAGTGAAACAAGAGCCCCATCCTGCCTCCTTTGGTTTGCTCTTCTGCCCAGACTTTCCCCTGCTGGAAAAACCTCTGAGTCTCCAAATCTTCAGAGTCCCTGAGAAGTTTCCTTCCAGAGGTGTTCTTTTCTTTCTTTCTTTTCTTTCTTTCTTTCTTCTTTCCATTAAAAAATTTTTTTATTAAAACACAGCCAACATATATAATATTAATTTCAGGTGTACACCATAGTTATTCAACATTTATATACCTGAAGAAGTGATCACCATGATAAATCCAGCAACCATCTGACACCGTGTAATGCTATCACAATATTATTGACTATATTCCCTATGCTGTATACCGCATCCCAGTGACTAATTTGTTTTATACCTGGAAATTTGAACCTCTTCTTCTCCTTCACTTTTTTCTCTTTTTTTTTTTTTGATTTTTCAATTACAATCAGTATTATTTTATATTAGTTTCAGGAGTACAGCATTGTGTTTAAACATTTATATAATTTATGAAATGATCCCCCTGATTAGTCTAATACTCACTTGGCACTATACGTAGTTAGTACAATATTATTGACTATATTTTCTTTGCTGTACTTTACATCCCCATGGCAATTTTTACCTGCCAATTTGTACTTCTTAATCTCTTCCCCTTTTTCACCCTACCCCACAACTCTTTCCATCTGTCAACCATCAGCTTGTTTCCTGCATCTGTGAGTCTGTTTCTGTTTTGTTTATATTGATCTTTAGATTCCACACATAAGTGAGATCATTTGGTATTCGTCTTTCTTGGTCTGACTTATTTCACTTAGCATAATACCTTCCACGTCCATCCATGCTGTCACACATAGTAAGGTTTTATTCTTTTTTTATGGCCAAGTAATATTCCAGTGTATATACATGTATCACATCTTCTTTGTCCAGTCCTCTATTGCCGGGCACTTAGATTGCTTCTATATCTTGACTATTGTAAATAATGCTGCAGTGAACATAGAGGTACATATATCTTTCTGAATTAGTGTTTTGGTTTTCTTTGGGTAAATACCCAGAAGCAGAATTTCTGGGTCATATGGTAGTTCTATTTTTAATTTTTTGAGAACCCTCTATACTGTTTTCCACAGTGGCTCTACCAGTTTGCAATCCCATGAACAGTGCATGAGGATTCCCTTTTCTCCACATTCTCACCAACACTTGTTTGTTGATTTATTGATGATGGCCCTTTGGACGGGTGTGAGTTGATATCTTATTGTGGTCTTAATTTGCATTTCTCTAGGTATATTTTCTTAAATATTAATTTGTAGGAGTTATTTACTTCCAATTATGGTAAAATACGAATAACCAAATTTATTACCATCTTAACTTTTTTGAGTATAAATTCAGTAACATTAAGTACATTCACATTGTTGTGTAACCATCACTATATTAATCTTCAGAACTTTTTCATCTTCCCAGAATGAAACTATGCCCTCGTTAAATAATTATTCTCAATTTTTTCTGCCCTCAGTAGAACTACCATTCTATTTTCTACTCTATGATTTTCAATACTCTAGGTGTCTGATTTAATTATACAATGTTTGTCCTTTGTGTACGGCTTATTTCACTTAGTGTAATATCCTCAAGGTTCATCATGTTGTAGCATGTGTCAGAATTTCTCTTTTAAGGCTGAATAATATTCTACTGTATGCATTTACCACATTTTGTTTATCCATTCATTCATCGATGGACACTTTGGCTACTTCCATTTTTTGGCTAATGTGAATAATGCAGCTAGTAACATGGATATACAAATATGTCGACTCCCTGCTTTTAAATTTTTGGGTATATATCCAGAATTGGAATTGCTGGACATATGGTAATTGTATGTTTAATTTTTTGAGGAACTGTCCTACTGTCTTCCACATTAGGTGCACTGTTTTATAGTCCCACCAACAATGCACAAGGTTTTCATTTCTCTACATTCTCACCAATATTTGTTATTTATTTTTTAAATAATAGCCATCTTATTGGGTGTGAGGTGGTATCCCATTGTGGTTTGGGATTGCATTTCCCTAGTGATTCCCCCACCTCCTCAACTCTGATCCTTCCAGGAGTTGTTACTGCTGTTTTTTTATTTTTTAATTTTAAAATTTATTTATTTAGCAAGTTGTCTGGACTAATTCTGTAGTCTTTTTTCCTACAGTATGTGCCCACTGATGTCTCTTCTCAGTTTTTTTAAATCTTATGTTTATTTTTAAGCCTAGTGCAAAGTTCTTACCTACTACTTTATTTATTTTAATGGCTGTGGTATAATTCTGGTTTTCTGTTTGATCATGAGAATTTTCATATAATGTTTCAGTGTTATTGGCATCAAGTTTTATGTATACTTTAGTTATATCTTTAAAGTATAGAAGATAGGCAATGAAGAGCTAACATCTTCATTACAAGTTCCAATAAGAGCACAATGGAACAACAATCACCAGAAATCATACAAGATAACTAAAATTAAGAACAGAAGGATTGGAATTATGTTTTGCAGTAGTTCACCATTTGCCCAGGAAAATCATAGCTTTGGCATCCAGGCATAAAGTTACTTATAAAGAAAGGAAAATCAGATTATCATTTGGTCTTTCTACAGCAAAGCTTTATTTCAGAAGTCAATTTATATTTTTCTATTTAATTATATAAATACATGAATTTTGATCTAAGAATTTTATATCTAGCCAAATTGTTTAATTCATACAGCAGTTGGGAATATTATTCCCTTAACTTCTTCCTGATGAATCCAACAGAAAATGAGCTTCAGAAAATCAAAATAGAGACATGTCAATTAATAGAGATTGGTATTGAACATTAAATATATATAATAACCTGTATATCTAATATCAATGGTGGTATTAAAGGAGGGAGTATAGTATTATTGCTCAGATGTAGTATAATTCTCCAAAAAGTAGGGTGAGAATGTTGAGAGTTTATAAAAGTGTTATAAACTTACATATAACCTTATAGGTATTAATGGGAGTAATTGTTTCAAGTCAGAAGCTGGGGAGAGAGAAAAGAGGTTAGTAGTTACTTCCAATATTCCTCATGATAGAACACCAGTTAGATAATAGCTAAAAGAGCGATGGAAGTGGGGGAGGGAGAGGGAGAAGGGAAGAAGGAGAGGGAGGAGAAAACAGGTATTACATAAACTTATTAGGATAAATATAACCATTGGATCAAAAATGTGGACTTGACTAAATATGAAAAGATATACCTAAAAATACAGAATAAGTAAAATGGTCTACATAGTTAAAGACTATGTAAAAGACATGACATAGATGTGTGCATATTCGAGGGGTTATGTGTCATAGACCAAAATTATAGCACTAAGGCCAAACAGTGATTATACTAAAATATGCTTCTATTTATCTAAAACAGAAAGGATGTTATAGTTTTTTTAGAAGTTTTTTTTGTTTTGTTTTGTTTTTTGATTTTTGGTTTTTGGTTTTTGGTTTGGTTTTTTTTTGTTTGTTTGTTTGTTTGTTTTTTTGGTCTACAGCGGGAGGGAAAAGAGTTGGACGAAGAGAGGATGTCTTTGAGTATGTTTTGTAAATTTGAGTTGGGAACTATATAAATATCTTACATAATTATAAAACAAAATTAAATTTAGAAAAATCCCTGGAACCAAATTAGAATTGAAACAATTCAATTTAAATGCGTGTGTAGTGGTTATATATGCTAAAGATAAAAGAAATAACAAAAATGCACCTTTCAGTGTTTTTATTAATAATACTAGTGGTAGCATTGTTGATATTGTTATTCCGAGAATGTTGTGTATATAGTGTGGAATAAAATAAATGAGCAATTTAGGTGGAGTCTTCGAAAATCAAGACATTTGGTAAGAGAGAAAGGAAATACAAATATAAGACTAATAATATGAAGTAAAAACCCTGTAGTCCTGAATGTGAATTGGAAGGGTTCTTTTGAACTCAAACTGAATTTTATCTTTAACTATATATCTTATAGATTAAAAGAGACTTAATATATCATTCAGTCTCATATATAGACTTCATATCGATTCTGATTCAGAGAAATGGAAAAATACACATTTATAATTAGACAGTTGGGGAAATACGAAGACTAACTGAATGTTTGATCATAAAGAATTACTGTTAAGTTTTAGGTTTATTATATTATGCTTTTGCAAAAATGTCCTTTTCCTAGCAGTTCATGCTGAAATATTTACAGATGAAATAACATGATGCTTGGGATTTGCTTCAAAATAATCTGTGGAATTTGATGTGAGAACTGGGTGAATAGACAAGATTATCTGTACGTTGACAGTCATTGAAGCTGAGTAATTGTTACATTGTTTTTTTTTTCCCACTTTCATAAGTTTACATTTTTCTATGACAAACTGTTTTAATGCAAAAAAATAGGAAGTGAGACAATATGTGGATGATGAAGGGAACTAACTATAGCATGTCCTTGAATAATGTTGTTTTGTTGTACTGTTGTAGGAACTTAACTCTTGTTTATAATTAACCTATGGTAAAATTGGTTTTGTTATATGTTGGTTTGCTTAAAGTCACAGAACCTATCTATAACATTAAGTGAGGACTTTCTGTAGTGCGAAGTTTTGTAAAACAGAGGACAAAGAAATGATTGGTAGCTGCAGGGGTGGGTCCTAGGCTCAAGGAAATTGTGTATTTGTGCACTTTAAAGGAGATTATATCAGTGCGTCTTTGGATGCTGATGAGACCAAAACAGGGGAGCAGGAGAAATTCTTTGTGAAGGAGAGAGTGTGGAAACTGAAGAAGCATAGCAGGAAAAGGTTATATCAGAGAAGATATTCCTTGGTTCCCAGTCATATACAGGTTGGTTGATTTGAGTGCATGAGAGAAAATTCTCTCATTCTTTTTTTCCTCTCAGCAAAACAATCAGTATGGACATCAGCCATGAGATAGTTTTGAGATTTTAGGAGAGTGAAAAGATGGGGAAAATTTTCTCAGAATGGAAGAATAAGACATGTAGAGATGAGGGAAATGCTGAGGGTCCATTAGAGGTGTGTGGTTATAAATGAATGTATAGTGACAATAGTCAGTATGACTGTGTTTTTAGCAGCCATCTTCAGCTACTCACATGGAGAAGAACAGTAAGCAGCATTGGATTTAATCAGGGTTGGGGAGATGAATGCAAGGTAAGAGTTATGATGGACTGGATTTAAAGCTAGGTAAGGCCATCAGGAAGATAAGTGACAGTGAAATTAACATTGCAAATGATTGGAGCATGGACAAGAGAGTGACCCTAGTATTATTTCTACCTTTCTGCTTCAGTTTTGGAGATATGTGATTGTATGTGTTTTTGTTTTGTTTTGTTTTGTTTAATTCATGCCTCACCCCTTTCACATTTATCTTCTTTCTGATAGACTATTTTATGAAAAGCAGTTCAGGTACAAGACAACTTAATATCATTTTCCTTGCTCAGTCCCTCACTTTTTCCCCCAAATCTTCTTCCATAGTAATAAGAACAATAGTAACAACTTCTTGAGCTCTTTATGCCAGGCATTTTACATGTATTGTTCCTAATCTTCACAAGCTTATGGAATAGATATTTCTTTATTATTATATAAAGAAATGGTGATTGAGGTAGATAAAAGTAATGTGTCCTTAACAGAAAGATAATCATCAACAGAGCTAGGGTCTGAAATGCTGATCTGTCTGAATTCTATGTTCTCACTAAATCTCATTACTACACTTTCTTTTATTCTGAACAATTTCTCCGCTTAAATTGTTAGAGACTTTGCCTGAGTTTCCTTCTGTATAATTTCAAGGACAATTTTACTAGCGCCTCCACCAAATGATTATTTCATTGGATCCACAAAACATACCATACTATAATCACAGGAGTATTTGTGTTGTAATTATTCTAAACTCACTCAGCATTTTGGAATAGTTTCAGTCTGTTCCATTATCTAGATTGATGTTCTCCATTTTTTTAAAAACTAGATTATGTATCTATTCTCATTTTGGCTTTACTTTAGAACCAAAAGATTAGGGACATTTATCCTTTAAATTTACCTTTAGTCACATTTTCTAAAATTGAGTCTAATTTTTAAATTAACATAACAAAATTTATATATCTTTTTTCCCCAGCTTTATTGAACTATATTAGACAGTTAGTTTGCTCATATTTACATTGTACAATTTAGTGAGTTTTTTTTTTTTTCAATTATAGTTGGCATACAATAATGTGTTAGTTTCCATTGTATAGCATAGTGATTAGAGATCTATATAACTCATGAAGTGGTCATCTCAGTAAATCAAGTACCCCTCTCCCCACTTACACACTTTTTACAACATTTTTGACTAGTTTCTTTATGCTACGCTTTTTATCTCCGTGATTATTTTGTATCTATCCCTTTGCCCTTTTCACCATCCTCCCAATAACCCTTCCCATCTAGTAGCCCTCAAAATATTCTCTGTATCTATGAGTTTGTTTCTAGTTTAGTTGTTGTCGTTGTTTATTTTGTTCTTTAGATTCCACATATATGTGAAGTCATGTGGTATTTTTCTTTCTCTACTTACTTCATTCAGCACAATACCCTCTAGGTCCATCAAGGCAATATCTTTTTCCATCCCCTTCCTTTTAGTCTTTGTGTGTCTTTCAATCTGAAGTGAGTCTCTTGTAGACAGCATATGAAGGGGTCTTGTTTTCTTATCCATTCAATTCACTTTGGTGGGAGCACTTAATTCTTTTCCATTTGAGGTACTTGTTGATAAACTTGTAATTATTACCATTCTTTATTCCTATTTTTGATACATATTTTTTCTCCTTAAAGAAGTCTCTCCAGCATTTCCTGTAATACTGGCTTGGTGACGATATATTCCTTTAGCTTATTTTTGTCTGGGAAGCTCTTTATCTGTCCTTTGAGTCTAAATGATAGCTTTGCTAGATAGCATATTCTTGGTTGTAGATCCTGGGATTTCAACACTTTGAATATTTTGTGCCAAGCCCTTCTGTCCTGCATGGTTTCTTTTGAGAAATCGGCTGCCAGTCTTATGGGAGCTCCCTTATAGGAAACTAATTGCTTTTCTCTTGCTGCTTTTAAGACCCTCTCTTTGTATTTAATCTTTGGCATTTTAATTATGATGTGCCTTGGTGTGGGCCTCTTTGGGTTCGTTTTTTTTGGGGACTCTGAGCTCCTGCAGTTGTATGTCTATTTCCTTCAACAGGTTAGGGAAGTTTTCCATCATTATTTCTTCAAATATATTTTCAACTTCTTGTGTTCCCTCTTTAGGTACTCCTATGACACGGATGTTGTTATCCTTAATTTTATCCCATAGGCTCCTTTAAATTATAATTATATTCTTGGTTACTTTTTTTCTTGCCATTCTGGTTGAGTGTCCTTGGCTTCCCCATCCTCTATATCGGTTTCGATACTCTTCTTCCCCTATTCTGTTGATTCCCTCTAATAATGTGTTCTTCATTTCTGACCAGTTCCCTTTTAGAATTTCCATTTCCATTTTTATGTTATTTTTGTCTCTTTGTTAAAGTTCTCACTGAGTTCATCTACACTTCCCTTAATTTTATTGAGCATCTTTGTAACCAGTATTTTGAACTCTGCATCTGTGAGATTGCTTGACTCCATTTTTCCTTAATCTCTGTTCTGTTCTTTTATATGGTTTCTACTTCTTTGTCTTCCCATTTTGGCTGCATTTCTGTGCCTGTTTCTATGTACTAAGCAAAGCTCCTAAGTCTCCTGGTCTTATTCACGTGGCTTTGTGTAATAGGTGACCAGTAGCACAGTCCTGAGAGGGGTTCAGCTGCAGGCCAAATTTAGCCCCAACCTGTGCCCCTCCAGGGCTGCCTGTTAAAATTCATCAAGCAATCCACAGGTGCTATGCTTATAGTTGCCTTAAGAAGTCACTCCAGAAACTGAGGACAGCTGCCACCAGAGGGAGTCTTGGCTCTGCTCAGCAGTGAGCACCTGATTCTCTGAGGCTATACCTGGATGTGGCTTGGGTGGGGCCTGAGTTGTGGGGAGGCCGAGTTTCAGGGAATACTCTGGGCGAAGTGACCTCTGTTATATAGTTTGATGATGTCTCTGCTATGGCAGCTCTGCGTCCTCACACTGGGAGGTGGGAGGGCTCAGCAGAGGAACAATGGATACCACCACCACTTCTGCCTGGTAGATAGTCTCACTTCCAGCCCTTGCTCCAGCAACTCAGTGTCCTCTAATAGTCTCTGGTGCCCCCTGAGCATTCGACCTGGTGCTGATGCTCAGAGTGATCAGGTCTGTCACTGTGAAAGTCTGCTCGTGGACCCGGCCCCTTTAAGAGGCATCTGCAACTGCGAGCTGCTGCTGCCATAGCCTTTGTCCCACTCAGCCGCTGGGGACCGGGCAGCCTCACGTCTTCGCCCCCTCCTACCTTCTACTGTTGCAGGGTGATTTCTTATTTCTCTCCCTAGTTGTAGAGCTTCTGTTGCTCTAGATCCCAGGTGACTCTGCTTGCTGTTTGCTCCATGTTTCCATCTCAACTTTGATGTGATCGCAAGAGGAATAAACGAAGCTTCTATCATCTATGCTGTTTTGCTGGGTTCCGCTGTTCTCCATTTTTTCCTTTAACTTACACTGTTTATTATAGAGTTCCTAGTGTTCCCATGTATCCAGACTGATTCTATCGAATAACTGGTGATCCTAGCCTCCCAATATTCTCAAGTTCCTTTGCCTAACTTTACATAGCTCTTTTATTATGCTTCAAACCTGTTTTAATGCCTGGAGAAAAAAATATAGTTTTCTTGGAAATACAAATATAATAGACAGGAGTGGAAAGTAGGCCCTGAGAAAGAACCTAGAGGAACAAAATAGATCATGTATTAGAGGGAAGGTTGAGTAATACTACAAATTCAAGTGAAGATTAAAAGAAAATATACCTCAGTATAGTGGTTGAAATGGGAGAAAAAAGATGGTCATGACTATACGTAAATGGCAGTGAGCATTGATAGAAGCATATGTGTAAATGGAGAAACAATTAGATAGGTAGGTGATTAGGTATATATAATATCATTTTTCCATTTGCATCATTTAATAATCTAGCCTCGTGATTTTGTTTCAATCTGAAGAAAGTGATGAAGTAAAAAGGATATATTTTCAGGGATTTGAGAGAGATTAAAATCAGAGACAGGTGTTCAGAACTATTCTGTAAGCACAATAGTTCTTAAGTAATTTCCATAATTCCATATCTGCATAATATTTCCCTTTATACCCTATGGAATACCTTTTATTAGTAAGATGTTCCTTATTCTCTAGTGAGTGAAATAACCATTGTTCCTGCCCCTTAAGGGTTTTAACAGTAAGAAAATAAAGTATTATATATGAATAAATAAATGACTGTATAATTCTAAAATCCAGAAAATTGCAGTGAGAGAATGAAGAATGAATTTAAATAGGGTGGTCTATCTCAAACTTTCTAAGGAAGTAACTTTTCAACTGAGGCTTAGAGTATGCTATGCAACCGTGGAAAGAGCCAAGTTGAGAGAATTTCTAATAAACTGAATAGTCTGTGGAAAATTTTGAAAAGGTAAAGAGCTTGACTTTTATCAGATGCTCAGAGATGATAAATATTTAGTACATAATGAACATTGGGAGAAGAGGATTGAGAAGATGTTTGATAGGATTTTGATTCACATATGTCAAAGATATGGAAGATTTCATAAGCTGTGGTAAAAAGTTTAAATGTTATTCTAAGTGCAGTTAGAAGCCACTGAAAAATTCTAGATAGAATTCTTAAATTTTGTGCAACATCAAAATTGGCTGGTTGATTGCATTAAAAATAGGAAACCTAAGACCTATTGGTGTAAATTCTTATTTACTTGATGTGAGGTAGTACATTGATATCCAGTTTTTTAAATAGACTATTCAGGTGATTCTGATCTACGCCTGAATTTAGAAACTACTGACTTTACCTTTTTTTCCTAACGATCTCCCTCACCTTCTTAAGTGTTTATGCTCTTGACCTCTTTTGAAAATCGAAGGCCATGTATGCCATCTTCACTTCATACAGACGTTATTTTCAATTTTCCCCCCATTTCTACCATAGAAATTTTATTTCTCTCCAAAGAGAAAACAAACAAACAAACAAAAAACACCATGTGTTTACTTTCTGGTTATCTTTCAGACTTGGAGTTCAGATGTAAGACCAAAGAATTGTGTCTTCGAAAAGAAATCAAGGAAGTAACATCATCTCAGTGGATGATAACAGAAAAAAGTCATAGCCTTTTGGGCTCCAATATCAGAGATAACTGGGAGTGCAAAGGCCAATTTGAGAGGCAAGAGATAAATCAAGAGAGATATTTGGGGCAAGCATTAAAGACTTATGAAAAAATGCCAACTTGCAGTCTGCAGACATCTCTTATTCTACATCAGCAAATTTATCCTGGAGAGAAACTCTGTAAATTCAAAGAATGTGGGAAAGGCTTTATTAATGGCTCATTACTTATGCGACAGCAAGGAATTATTATTGGTAAGAAACGCTATAAATGTAAAGACTGTGGGAAGGTCTTTAGTCATTTTTCCTATCTTACTGAACATAAGAGAATTCATACTGGTGAGAAGCACTATGAATGTAAGGAATGTGGAAAAGCTTTCATTCGTGGTTCACATCTTATTCAACATCAGAGAATTCATACAAATGAGAAACCCTTTGAATGTCAGGAATGTGGGAAGGCCTTTAGACAATCTGCACACCTTACCCGACATCAGAGAATTCATACTGGTGATAAACCTTATAAATGTAAGGAATGTGGGAAATCTTTTATTTGTGGCTCAGAACTCACTCGACATCAGAGAATTCACACTGGTGAAAAACCCTATGGTTGTAAAGAATGTGGGAAGGCCTTTAGACTGCGTTCACAACTTGGTCAACATCAGCGACTTCATACCGATGAGAAATCTTATCAATGTAGGGAATGTGGAATGGCCTTTATTCGTAGTTCACAACTTACTGAACACCAGAGAATTCATCCTGGTATGAAACATTATGAATGTAAAGAATGCGGGAAGGCTTTTATTTGTGGTTCTCAACTTTTTCAGCATCACCAAACTCATACTGGTGAGAAATCTTATGAATGTGCACAATGTGGGAGGGCCTTTATTTGTGCCTCACAACTAACTCAACATCAGCGAATTCATACTGCCAAGAAACCCTGTAAATGCAAAGAATGTGGGAAGGCCTTTATCCGTGACTCAGAACTTACTCAACATCATAGTGTTCATACTGGTGAGAGACCCTATGAATGTAAAGAATGTGGGAAGGCCTTTAGACAGTCTTCACACCTTAATCAACATCAGAGAATTCATAATCTAACATAACGAATATAGGAAATCATTTACTTGCCATTCATTTGTCATAGAGCATCAGATTTCATGCTAGGGTAAAATATAATGGATGTGGAAATTTCTTTGACCTGATTCTCACTTTTCTCAGAAACAAATTTTAATGTTGAAAAAAATGGATAATAAATGTGGAGTTTCTATCATGACTTTCTATCAAACCTTGTTGAAATTCTACAAATTTATATTAGAAAATGTGGTAAATGAGAAAAGCTACTATTTACAATTATGTGACATTAGGCAAATTATTTAACTTCTCTGTGCTTAAATTTACTAATTGGTAAACTGTTGATAGTATCTACATGTAATAAAGAGTCTGACTCCAGTTTTGATGTTTGACCACTAACTTTCTAAGCATCACTTTCTCTATTCACTTTGGCCCTACATCTGGAAAGCCTGATAAGAAAGCCTATGTGCACCTCCTCCTTTGGAGCCAGTGGAAAAATTAAACTTTGCACATTCCAGCCCACATTCAGTTCCACCTGCTGTCTACTACAAAAGCCAACCTATTCTGTTTGCTCAAGCTACTTCAGATCTGCTTGTGCAGGCCATGTACTGCCCAGGAGTCCCTTTTGTGAGGAATAAATTTTCAAAATCTAGTGATGCATGGAGTATCATCAGCCTCAACATTCAATGTAAAATTAGTAAAGAAGTCAATCCCAATTCCGTGGAATGACCACAAAATAATTTGTATAGATGGGTGGACATTCTCTAGGCTTTTATCACCACTGTTTAAGATCTTTCTTCTCTTGCTCCTAGCTTACTAAATGGGTAAAACTACTTTAAATAATGTGGGAGATGGCTCTGCTTTTTGCTAGCAAGGTTGTGCTTTGAGTTGTGCTGTTCTGTGCTGCATTTGCTGAGTCCTGCAGAGCCTTTGTTATAAATTTTATCACCTAAGTCAGAAGGTTTGATAATTGGTATTTAGGAATGGGTTTATGTGGCCCTGGGTTGTGTTTTGGCCTGGATATATCCATGTGTGTCTTAGAATTATGTAGCTCAGTTCCAACATAAGCTATGACTGATGCTAGGCTCAGGGGAATGACTCTTAGCCTGTGACTCCTGATTGTGTGTCTCAGCAAGACATTGATCCCTGCTCTATAGAAATGCTCAAGGGAAAGACTGATACCTTGTACAATATACATACCCATCAGCTGGTTGCTTGTGAAAGAGCAGTCATTTGAGAGTGAAAAAGCAGTCATGTGGTTTGCTGAGGTCTATACTCTTAAGAACAGATAGCTGACTGAGACCTTTAAATATTTCTTATGCTGCTATAGCCCATGCCTCTATTACAACAAAGATCCTGATCCTCACGGATATTTGAAAGAACATCTATTGTGGCACAGACACTTAACAGATCCTACTATACTACTGAAGGAAGAACCATTTCATAGTTTCCAAGGTTGCCCTCTAACACTGCAGAACCCTCACCAGAAGACCTGGTGATGATAACACAGCAATCTGGGCTTCTTTAGTTATTTCATCCCAATAATACCCCCAAGGAGCTCCAGGTTTTTCTTGGACAAACTTACAGAGCATCCAGTCTCCTCGCCCAAACCCAGGGCCCTAAGGTGTAGGACCCACTGCCTCATTCCCTAACCTGAGTCAATGGCAACCTCTCTAGCCTCATAGGGATTTAGAGGGCCCTGGGACCCCTGCCACCACCCACAGACAATCAATCGTATACAACCATGGTGATCCATTGTTCACACAATGTGTAACCTTTTATGGCCTTTATTGATACCAGTTTCCAAATCATAGCGATCCCCAGACACTAAATTTAAAGGAGGAACTCACTGTATTCTTTAGGGGCATTACTGACATAAGAGTAAAGGCAAACAAGTCCACCTTACCTTGACCATTGGTACAATAACTGCCTAATTTTCCAGTGGTCACATTTCATATATCCACTTTGAGATTTCCATTATTGGAATAAATGCTCTAACCAGTCGTGTGGTCCATTAGAATAAAATTAAAACTTTGGCCTCATGAAATGGGAGCTTGCGGGTCTGCCCCAACCCATTAAAATTGTTGATATGGCTCAATGTAAATTAAAACAAGGCCTTTATTGATTGAGATCCAGTATATAATCTATTAAGAGAAGAGGTAATTATCCCCAGCGTCTCCATTTTACAGCTCAATTTGGCCTGTCTTAAACTTGGAAAGAACGGTACATTACAGTGGATTACCACAACCTAATGCCATGGTCCCACCCATTAAAATGAGGCCTATCATAATTGAAATGACCAAAAGTGTACAAGTTTTCAGTTATGAGTAAATATGTGGGATCTAATTTACAGCATGGTGACTATAGTTAATAATACTGTATTGTATACTTCAAATTTGCTAAGAGAATTAATCTTAAGTGTTCTCATCACAGATAAACACAAAAAGGTAACTGAGGTGGTAGATGTGTTAATAAACCTGATTGTGGGAATCATTTCACAATATGTATGTGTGTGTGTGTGTGTGTGTGTAAAGTCATTACATGTATACTTTAAATATATACAATTTTATTTTTCAATTATACCTTAATAAATTAGGGTAGGAGGAAATGACCAACACCATTCAAACTGCCACTGCTAAACACTTTGCTGCTATCAATTTAGCTAGTATGTTCTATTCAGTACCTAGTTCAACAGTCTCAGTTCACATTCAGCTTTGAAGGGATGCAATATTTTTACTTGGTTGCCCAAAGAGTACCTAAGTAGCCTGGCTATTGTATACAATCTCTTTTGACAAGATCTCAGTCAGATCCAGGTGTCCCTGTGTTCCCAGGGTATGGCAATACATTGAAGACAGTCTCAGATTAAGATACTCACTAGACACTGACAAAGGACATTAAAACATTTACCACTGCACTTACTGAGAGGGGATGGGCTATTGCCCCACATGAAGTTCAGAGGCCTGTTGCCTCAGTCAAATTCTTAGGCCTCATCTGGTCTGCCCAAGGGCAGCTCTATTCTTGATGTAGTTAAAAGGCAACTTCTAACTTTATCAGCCCCAACCACTCTCAAGCAAGCCCGAAACCTATTAGGTCTCTTTGGCTTCTGGAGGAAACATATTTCTGTCTACAAATATTGCTAAAGCATATTTATGTCGTCATCTGCAAACCACTGTGAATGGGAGCCCTTTACAACAGAAAGCCATAGAGTCGATCCAGATGACCATATAGCATTGCTTCCTTTACTGACTCCTGGAGACTCCTTCGTGGTGGAAGCTCTGGCAACCACCAGTTATGTTTCTTGGGAGTCTGTGGGCCACTCATGGTGGCTATAAGTTGCCAGTGAGTTTCCATTGCAAAAAGCTGCCTACTTCAGCCCCACATTACATGCCATTAGAGCTACAGCTGCTGACTGCATACTGGGCCCTTCTGGAAATGGAGGCTATCACAGGACCTGACCCTGTGACTCTCAATACCCAGCTGCTCAGTATGTCTTGGGTCATAGAAACAGTGCCCTGCAAGATTGGCATGGCCACTGAAATCTTGCTGAAACTGAGTAGCACCTACAGGATAGCATCAAACATGGGCTTTCTGGCATATCCTACCTGCAGGAGGAAGTGACCTTTCCTTAGTCCCTTGCCAGATGCCTCCATGCTGGAAGAGCTCATCCCTGTTGCAGACTCCTTGGTTTTCTGGGGAACCCCTTGGGATCAACTGAGTGAACAGCAAATGGGGTTCATGCATTTTATGGTTGGTAGTACCACCATCTCACATGTTGGAGCTTGCTGGAGGACTATTTTTTATTCCTTAACCAAAACGTCCCTGATAAAGGATGGGACCTACGGGTCAGCTCTATTGGATGTACTCCAGGCAGACATCTTGGCGTTGGAGGATATCCTGGCTGACAATCCTGGACCGATAATCTGGCTATTTAATCCAGCCAATGGCAACAACAATTTCTCATTCAAGACGTACCTCTTTTGTGTAATAAAGAACTTTAGGTGATTACTTGCCTCTTAGGCATCATCAAATATACAAACTAAGGTCACACCAAAGCTCAGATTGCTTAGGTGCAATTTTATGCTCAAGCTAATAAACATGTATTTAGGAGACTCTGGCCTAAACTTCCTCAGATGACATTCCAGATCCCATTTGACTGGTCCAGTGGACCCATGAAATGTCAGAGCATAGAGGAGCTTCTGCCTGTAATGCTTTGGATGAATGCCAAAGGCTTTCCCTATGTTCTGTCATGGCTAATGTGGTGACAAGCCAATGTACTCTATGTGGGAAGATCTTTCATTAGAAATATAACTGGTGGAATGCCATCCCATAGCAGTCCTGCCCCTGTGGTCTCTAGCAAATAGATTTTATCATACCACTGTTCTCCTCTGCTGGTGCCACTCATAATGTCTTGACCATGGTGAACACCTACACCAGCCTTTTACATGATCCGCCCCAACTTTGACATACAAGTGCAGAACTCCTATACATGGCCTCATAAAACATTCTTCATTCTCTTAAGACTTCCAGACACTGTCCACCAAGGCACTCAAAATACACAACCTTGGCTTCTTAAAGATATTCAGTGTAACTTCCCTCAGCTTGAAGCTGCTAATCTTCTAAAACACTACACTGGCTTACTAAAACAAGCCTTATTGAAATTACAAAATCAGTGGGGCTTTCTAAATGAGTCTTCCTCCTGCCAGTGGCCTTCATTAAACTAAATTCCTGGCCTCTAGTGCCTTCTATCAAAATGCATTGATAACACATCAGTTGCCTTTTCTTGCCCTCTGGGTGACACTTCAGAAATCAAGGTTTATGAAGATCATATTGAACTAGAAATCTCTCCCCTTTTCTATCCCTTTTGAGTCTTTACCCCATCCCAGTTTTGATGGATTTTTAATTATAATTCATTCACTATCAAATGTGCCTCTGGCAATCTGCTAGGGCTATTCAGGCGCCCTTCCCAGGGTTAGATTCCTAGAGTTAGCAAGTAACTCTCTTTTGAGTACACCTTTCATATGCAAGCGAATCGGTGTAGTAGATCCTTAACCCCCAACTGCCATATTTATCAGGCTCTTATACTCCTTTATATTTCAGGCCAATTTTCCCCTGTTCTAATCACTCCAGGGCCAGGTATCAGACCAGGAGGGATAATACCTACATCTGAAGCCCACTGAAATGATTCAAACTAGCCAATCCTAAAATCCTGTCTAACTTGCCTTGCCCATTCCTTCCTGTGAAAACCACGATAAAGGCTATTTCCCCTCTCTGTGACTGAACTTAGTATTCTTTCTGTGTGGCATGGCATGTGCCCTTCCTCCACTGGGAACTATGAGTAACATAAACTATCTTTTGTTTCCTGATCTGTTGGTTTCATG